ATTTCCGATCAATCAGTTATATGGCAGCTATAGGATATAGTCGACCGATCCTGGCCGTTCCGACTTATATACTGCGTGCAAAGGAAAGAAGGGTGTGTGCAAAGTTTCAAGACGATAGCTTTAAAACTGAGAGACTAGTTTGCGTAGAAACAGACAGACAGACAGACATGCTCATATCAACTCAGGAGGTGATCCTGATCAAGAATATATATACTTTATAGGGTCGGAGATGTCTGCTTCACTGCGTTGCACACTTTTGACAAAAAATATAATACACTCTGCAAGGGTATAATTACCTCATAAAAATAATGATATATCAAATTTTCGTGTCACAGTTTTTGTTACTATACTCCTCTGAAACGGCTATACCGATTCTCATATTTTGTGACCGTATTGAGTAGGTCTGAAAATCCGCCAACATATATTTTTCATCCTCTTAAATCCTGTTTGACATACCAAATATCGCATATAAAGTGAGTTGCTACCTCATCACACTGACAAAAGCTACCATAGCATTTTTACTCAATTTTAACTGGTGCAGAAATCATTCATCATTAAGTAAATACATTGAGTGTTTTGTACAGTGAGCAATGCCAATAAAACGCAAAGGGGGTGATTTGAGCCGTGATACAAGTAGATCTCGAAACATGCGAAATAGAAGATCCGAAAGAACCGAAGAACAAATCCAGCAACAAAATGCATCGAGCATTTATATCTGTTTCATTCCTGCGTCTAGCATTCCAGTATGAGCCTGATATTGAGTATTATGCTCACTTAAAAGTGGTAATTGGTGCTATGAACAAGGAATGTCCGCATTGTCATGGTCTAAAAGTCAAAAATGAGCTAGCTGGGATGTGTTGCGCGTCAGAAAAAGTGTCGACAGCGAAGCAGTAAATTTTCCCTCAGAGTTTTTGCCTCAAGGCATGCCAACTCATAATGTACAATTAAAGGTCGGATCTCCAATTATCATACTTCGTAATTTGAACCCGCCCCGACTGTGCAACGGTACGCGATTAGTGATTCAAAAATTAGTTAAAAACGTGATCGAAGCCAGCATTTTAAATGGAAAATTCAGAGGTGAAAATATACTTATACCACGGATTCCCATTATACTTAAAGATGCCCCAATTCAATTCAAACGTATTCACTTTTCGATTAGATTGGCATTTGCAATGACTATCAACAAATCCCAAGGTCAAACGATGTCTATTTGTGGCTTAGATTTAAAAACACCATGTTGTTCACACGGACAATACGTGGCATGCTCTCGAGTGTGTAAACCATCCAGTTTGTTTGTGTTAGCTAAAGATGGACTAGCAAAAAATACTAACACAGTATAGAACTAAGAGATTGACTTGCTGAATTACGATCAAATAATAACTTAAAAAAATGTTTGCCTTTTGTTATTTTTATATTCCCTCATGGTAAGTCTAGAACTGAGTAAATTTTACAGAAATTATAGTCATTTGGTGGCAAAACAACGTTTGCCGGGTCAGCTAGTATATATATACATTGTAATAATAATTATAAAAAATAAAATAATTTTATTGTTTATTGTTTTGTAGAACACACATATTTTTTATAATGTTTTTATAGACTTTACAAACAATAAATAATGCAATTAACGTTATAAGTATGTACACCGTCACGAACCTTTATGAACCGTCACGCTCGCAGCCTAATTTCTGCAATTCGTTACTAATACTAATCCATTAAAATTTTGTCAGTCTATTAAGTGCCGACCACTGCACTATGGGGAATTTGCCATTTTTGTGGTATTAAGTATTTTATAAAACTATTTATGTTAGTGTTTTTTTATGCAAACATGTTAAATGATCAGTCCACAATAATTGATATAGATTGTTAAAGTGAGCTGTGGGAAGAAAACAGCACGTGGAAAATTGGAAAATCAAAAACAAACTTTTGACTAAAAATATAATTTGCCTTGCAAGGGTATAACAACGTATACAGATCTTACAAATATAATTTGGAAGTTCTAGTTTAAAAATAACTTAATTATTTCGTTTTTTCCGTTTTTTTTTTATGGATGGATGGATATTGGATGCGTTGACACGCCTACTTTTTAGAATACTTCATGAGGCGTCAATCAATACAATGAGGGAAAAACGGAACGAAATATATCCATTGGTTTGATATTAAATACCACAAAAATTGGAATTTCCCCATAGTGCAAATATTTAAAATCAAGTTTTCAGATCGAAAAATTAGTTTGACGAGTAAAAAAGTTTAATATTTCCAGTGTGAACGAATATTTTCAAGTTACGCACTACAGTCCCTCCTAAAATTTATTTAAATTTGAATTTAAAAATTGACAAAGTTTTCAAGAATTGTGAATTTTGTTAATTTTGAATCTATTTTTGAATAAATATTAATTTTAAAAGATTTTGTATTTACATATGTACATACATATGTATTTCTTCACTAGTTCATTAGTGCTGGTTGGCATTTAGCGTGTATATTTCTGGTATTTTTTTCGATCTGAGTACGGGGAGGAGAAAAGACCCTATTAAAAACTTTTTTTTACCTATTTGCCTCTCGCTCAGAGTTCTAGGCTTAATTGTAAACGGTAAGTTTATTAAAGCTATCCACTTCAACGCTTGAACACATCCTTTTTTCCTTAGGTGAGACTTAGGTTTTTTTTGAGTAAGAGATTTGGGATTTTCTATAGATTCTATTTTTGCCACATACGCAAAATATTACGCCATAACAAATTTCATAAGGATCGGCCGATTCTATCGCTGTCATAGAACTGAATGATCGGATGTAAGGATCTTGTTCTTTCGCCTCAAAACAATAAAGAAACTCTTTCTATAAAGAGAGACTCTTTAGCCTCCACCTCCATGTGACCACTAACGCGTATAGAAAGGACCGATCCACGAAGACGGCTCCTCAGAGATTCTATTGTCGTAAGGATAATTTTTTTTTTAAGATAAATGTACCATAAATAAAAATGAGTATACAAATATTTTTTTTTTTCAGGATAGGTTAAACCTTAATGTTAACGGATTCGTCGTGTTTTATTGGATTTGAAATTAATGTGAATTTGTTGTTAAATTGAATTGAATTTTTTAGTTGAATTTTTAATTATTTAAATCTAGTATAAGATAGCTTAGGGCGGAGCGGGAGCGAAAGCTCATTTTCGTTGATGTGCCAATTCGTCCGCTTCGCCGCAATAGATAAGTTAGGCTTAAGATTAGAGCAAAGATAAAAAATTATAACTTTGAAATGGCCATGTATTAGCTTTCGTTTTCGTCATTTTAAAAAAAAATATGTCTTTTCTGGAATAACTATAAGCTCATCATCTGGCCATTTCTTGTTGATTGCTTTAAGGGGTTTTTTTTTCATATTCTTGCATTGCATATTAATTAAGTATATACTGTTGAGAATACTCTCACAAAAATTCATAACGATCGGAGCATTAGAATCGAAGTTGTAGCTATTTATAGCGCACTACTTGAACAAACTAGAAACAAACGCGATTATCTCAGAATCTTGTTTTTTCGAAATTACCTTTGCGGTGGACACGATTACTAAAAAACTATTAATCCGATCAACACCAATTTTTGACCACTTATTTATTATGATAATAGCTAGTCCGTGAATGAAGGATTTTCGAACGATTTTTTTAAGGATTTGGAGCATACAAATTGAAAATATTATACCTTGAAAAAGTATATTTTTTTGTTAAAACCGGCCCCATTTTTTTTTATCAAAATTTTTACAAACGCATCGTTCACGGACTAGGCAATAAAGAAATTTTTTTGAATTTTCTATTTCGAATGAACCGTTCTCGGAAAAACACGATCTTCGAATTCGGCTATAAAATTTTTATTATTTAATATTTTTTTATGAAAAAATTTAATTTAGTATCCAGAAACATGTACTAAACAACTTCGGTAAAACATTTTTAATAAATATTTTCTAGGGTGTCAAAAAAAAAATCGATAAAATTTCATTTTTTTGCGCGGTACAACTGTATATAACCCCTTAAAGTACTTAAGTATTCGTTAATGCTCTCTTCATTTTATATTTAATGCTCCGCCCCAAGCTAGTTTTCCATTCTAATTTTTTATATAATTTCAAAATCTACCAACACAAAAGTTGGGTCATTTCCGATCGTTCAGTTATGTGGCTGCTATAAGATATAGTCGGCGATCCTAATTTTGAACTCTCTAACTTTAAAAACACCAAAGTTATACCGTTTCCGATCAATCATTTATATAGCAGCTATAGGATATAGTCGGCCGATCCATGCCCTTCTGACTTATATACTGCGTGCAAAGAAAGTGGATAGCTTTAAAACTGAGAGACTAGTTCGCGTAGAAACAGACAGACAGACGGACATGCTCATATCAACTCAGGAGGTGATCCTGATCAAGAATATATATTCTTTAAAGGGTCGGAGATGTCTCCTTCACTTCGTTGCACACTTTTGATCAAAATTATAATACCCTCTGCAAGGGTATTACAAGACAGGAAGGCTATAGTCGAGTTTCCCGACTCCCGAAGGGGGAGTAGTAAAATTATAAAACAAACTTTAACTTCGTTGGCATTGTAGGAATTTCCATGCCAAATCCTATAGCTATAGTCTGTGAGATCCACGCTCTTCATACGGACAGACGTATGGACTCTGCTGTTGATGCTGATCAAGAATATATACTTTATGGGGTCGGAGAAGGTTCCATCCCAATGTTACATACATTCACACGACTACAATACACCCGCTTACTTCATGAGTACCAGGTGGCGATTTTGGTGGCGAATAAATTTCATATGTATATATAAGTTTAAAAACCTATTAAACCCCGTTAAATAATATCCTTTTTCTTATAATATTCTTATTATTATTTTTTTTAAATATTTTATTTTGAACCCTTATGCCACTATCGGCAGCAGTATTTTACCTCGTCAAGAGGTTTTTTGTTCATATTTAGTTACGATTTTTTGTTTACTGAATCCATATTTTTTCAAATACTCACTTCTAGCATCCATTCTGCGACTATTTTTCTCATTGCCGGGGTGATGTCCTTTTGCATAGTTGAGAAATACAAATCAACTTGATTTCGATTTCTTTCTACCCTTAGTGCAATTTCTAGACATCGATCAGAAATAAGAATCGGATCCCTAACTGCCGTGTTGACGTTTCCTAGCGCTGTCGTCGATTTCCCTTCAACATATGACGATGTCATATTCTTGCTACTATAATGAGAACACATATGTATCTTAGACTGCAATGATACCTTTTCTATAGGATTGATTCCATTTGGTACCATCCTAAATTATAAATATGTACATAGGATGTTTTAAAAGTTTGCACGAAATAAACTTCGACGCCAGAAGTACCTTGTTTTTTTAGTTTGTATAAAACGTTTTGTTTTTGTAGATTAGAAAATTTTTTTTCGTATTAGTTAGTAGTTTATTTAAATTACTGCGTTTAAACTTTTTTGATATTCTAATTTGGTAGCAATGTCGATTTGAAATTTTATTTCGTTTTTGCACGAAGCTTCGAACCGCTGTGTGTATTTATATTCATATTTACTAAACATTTATATTTAATAATATAATGCAATATGTATGTTTATTCAAATTTTGTTTTTGTTTTGAATTCTTAGGAATGACAATCTCTAATGTACATACCTACATAATAAAGAAATTAAAAGAAATCTACATATATGAAACATGAAAACTATTTTTTTTTCAAATTTTATACAATTTTGGCATGGTACATATTTAAGATGTAGATGTAGTAAAATATAAACAAAAAAATTACTTAAAAAAGTAGACTACATTTTTGAATATTATCTTGAAGATTAATGCAATACCTTTTAAATGAATTTAAAGCTTTTTTAACTTCTTTAAGCGGATATTTTCATTGGGGTAATCAAGAATTTATGTATGTTTGGATTTGTTTTGAAACTCCCATTTCAATGACAAGATAGCTACCTTGACATATTGTCAAAATAGCGCCGGATGTATATCGTTATAAACGAAACAACTGTAAAAAATATATAATTAATAATTAGGAAGACGTTCAAACAGGAAGACGAGGACCATGTTTTTATACCCTTGCGAAGGCGTTATAATTTTGTTCTTTATCTTTACAGTGCTTAAAAGGAATTCCTCTTATTTAAGAATTGGGAAAAGTTTTAGCAGTTAAAGCTTCTGTTAGCCCTTCAGTTATATGGCTTTAGGATATAGTTGGCTCATTCTTATATAATTAAGAAAGCCTAGGATCAATTGGTCAAAAATTGAATCTGTACAGAGATCCAACCTTCTCTCTTCAAAAATATTAAAGTTGAGTCATATTCGATCTTTCAGTTGTATGACAGCTATAGGATCGGCCGATACTTATGAAATTTGGTATGGCATAATATTGTGCGTATGTGGCAAATATAGAATCTATAGAAAATCCCAACTCTCTTACTTAAAAAACATTTAAGTCCGTGCAGAGAAAAGAATGGTGTGTGAAAAGTTTCAAGTCGATAGCTTAACACTAAGAAACTAGTTCGCGTAAAAACAGATGGACAGTTTGATATGCTCATATCAATTCAGGAGTAATATATATACTTTATATGGTCCGAGATGACTCGTTTACTGCGTTGAACACTTTTGACCAAAATTACAATACCCTCGCAACACTTATTAACTTATTATTACCTAATATATAGCTAATAATTTTTCAGGCTTGGTACCCTATGAAAATGTGAGTGTTTAATATTGGGTTTATAATTGCCCCAATATAAATAGTCCCATTTTCGAAGAGCACCAAGTAAGGCCGTAGCTAGCGTGGTGCCAGTGGGGTGGTGCTGCAGGGCCATTTTGAGAGGCTCGCATACTGGCGGTTAATACCAGAAGTGATAGCTGAGCTTAAAAGCGAGCTTATCAGCTTGCAGAATCAAACGCTTTGCTTTAATGAGAGCGCGCACACTGAAGGATTATCCAAGAGGGAAGAGTATCCTCTTTGAGAGGATTGTGAAACTTGTGAGAGGCGAAATTGTGATTGTGTGAAATCTTGTGAGAGGCTGAGATTGTGAAACATTAATAGAAGAAATTATGCGAACCCTATTGTATTATCCCAAATCATAATATTAATTATGATTCAACGAAAAAATATATCCTCTTGGCTGTCGCTGAAAATCTTTGCTCCTTTGTTTTTGAAGCTGCAGTAATCGGGAAGTTTAAAAGAGACCCAGATGCCTAATTGTTTGGAGTCTACTTTTCCTTTTACTTTGTTTTCTAATTTTTATTCGATAGAATTTTACCCCTTGTTTGTAGAGGGGCGTGGTTGCCGCAAAAGATTCCAGGATTAGATGAAGTGAGAAATAAAAAAGTCGGGGGCGTCTTCGGGGGCGCGTATAACCCGCGTTCAGCTTTATTGGGCTGCTTACAAGAGAATACTCACCTAAAAACTAGTACAAAACGACACAATCGACGACAACCAACGAGCGAGAGAGAGGGCACAGAGGGGCGAAAGTGGATGCGTTCTTTAGCGCGGGTGCGCTCTTCAGCGCGGATACGCTCTTCAGCGCGGATGCGCTCTTCAGCTGAGCGGCACAACGGCCCCTCATCTAAACATTCTCCCCCCCTTGCAATCGCTCGGGTTGCAACAGATCCCTCGTCACTAGCTATGCTAGCAACTGCAGCTAGAGGGCGTACACGGGTCGATGAAGGCTCCGTGTCGAAAATCCGGGTCCCGATGTTGACGCTGTTCCGGTTCAGCAGCGACGATAGGTTGGGCGCAGCGACCGCGTCCTGCGGGGGCCCTCGAGGAGAGGCGGAAAGTTGCCTAGGCCCGGATGACGCGGGCGGAAGAGCGGTGGACGGCACCCGATGAGTGGCGGACGAAAGCAGTGGAGCGCTTCACGACTGCCAGCCAGTGGCGGAAGAATGCCGAGGAGTTGCCGACAAGCGCCGGGAAGTCGATGGCCGTGGATCGGCTTGTGAGTGCCGGAAACTGGCGGACGAAGGCCGAGGAGTACCCGAACCGCGCCGTACTGTGACCGTGCTCCTCGGTCACAAGGTGCAGCAGCGTGTGGTGATCCTGCCCACACGTCTTAAAGCCGTCCCCACGCCGACAGGATCCGTTGGAGTGCTCGTTAGCCAGGCAGCTCGAGCAATACCGGTTCACGAGAACCGCTCGGAGCCGCTTCTCGGCACTTAGGCGTAGGAAGCGCCGACACTTCTTCAATGAATGGATCCCATTGCAGACTCGGCATCGGTAGGATTGTGTACCTCGAGTACATCTGCTCTCCAGTGACTGGGCGTTGCGTGGGCGTGGCGACATCGTGCTGAATATGATCTTGGAATCCAGAATTTGGCCTGGATCAGACGGATCATCAGCTGATTGCCATCGTGCAGCTTGATGCGAAACGTAAATTAAAGAAGGAGTCGAGACAGAATTGGATCGCAGAATTGCAACCTGGATCCGATTCCGAGCTGATCTGTGTGGGCACCTCTCCCTGATCCAATGAGTCACCGAGACTGCGGGCAACTCGTGCAGAAAAAAAAGACACGCTGCGGGGGTTGACTGGAGATAATGGGCCTGTCAGCACCCATCCGAAAATGGTCTCCTGACCGAGAAGCGACCCGCAGATGTTAGCCTTGGAATTACCGAGGAGAATGGACGGAAGAATGTCAGCTCCTAATAACACATCGACTTGGGAGCTCTCAAAGAAGTTGGGGTCCGCCAGGGTAATATCGGGCAGCCCCTTGAGACGATCTCGCAAAATCGGATATGATGGCAGATTTCCTGCCAACTGCGGAAGAACGTAAGCCGCAGTCTCTAATTGTAGCCCGGGTCTTGACGGCGATCGAATGGAGAAATGGCACAATTTAGTAGACAGCGCGGAAATGATCTGATTAAGGCCGGAAACTTGGGCTTGAATCACCTTGAAGGGAGGCTTGACGAGGTTGAACAGTCGTTCCGTTATGAAAGTCGCTTCGGAGCCTGAGTCTATCAGTGCTCGTGCCTGGACGGTGCACCCCAAATGGCACACGTTGATAAGGGCCGTGCCCAGTAGGACGGCTCCTGACCCGGAAGCGAAACACACCTGCACATTCAACTGATCCTCTGAGCCGTTTGCTGGCGTAAGCGGACTTGGAGCGGTGGCGAACGGATTGCCGCGGTGCAGGAGGGTGTGGTGTCGGCTGTGGCATGTGAAGCAGGTATGGGCGCTCGTGCGGTCTCGCTGCTGGTGCCCTCGGGCAAAACAGTTTAAGCATAACTGCTTCCTCCTTATGTAGTCAGAGCGCCCATTTACATCCATTTCTAGGAACCGCGGACATAAGCGAATGGGGTGGTTCTCCCACGAACAGAGATCGCAACCCTTGGGGCCCGGAACCACTCGAGTCTCGTATGAATTGAGCCTTTGAGCAGGGGCAGTAGGAGTTCCCGACCTTCGCGGAAGTTGCCCGGACAACTCTGAATGGTGGCTTGCAGCTCCTTCAGCGCGACCCCAGATTCTTGTGAAATAGCCTGGAGGTTGAAAAGAATTTTTAACTGGCTATTGACCAATAGCCGCCGGTTTTCAAAGCGGTCTGTGAGGCTTTGCCAAGCGACGACAAACCCCTCATGGGTAAGCGGAGCCTTAGAAACAATGGCGTGGGCGTCACCACTTGTTTTGGACAGTAAGTGGAACAACCTCTCTACCGGGGTGAGCCGCGAGTTTTGGATGTAAATGGCCGTAAACAAGTCTCTGAAGGTGGGCCACCGAAGATAATCACCCGCGAAGACCTCAGTATCCGGGGACCGGGGGTGAAGGACCGGGGGTTGTATTGATGGATTCGTCACTCTTTGCCTGGGCGTGTGGACATTGACGAGAGCCTGAGTGGATTAGGAGGCAATTTTCTCCCGAAGCTGGGCAATACATCTCGAATAGACGGAGTAACAGTAGCTGTACTTCGCTTCCAGCACTGTCGAGGCGGCCGCATTGTCGTTGGACACGGCTAGTAAATCGGAGCAGCTCTCATAGCTCTTCTCCACCTTCTCCCATAGTGCCCGAATTTGGTCCCGATGGACTTCGCACATGTATTGGGAGCCTATTTCCGTTTCTGGGGCGCCCGGAGTATTTATGTTAGCCTCAAATTGGCTAATTCGATCTGTTGTGGCGATGAACTTTTTCAACGCAACTTCGACCGCACTTGGAGCCATTTTTGCAACGGAGTGAGTCTGCCTCTGTGAAGGACCGGGGGTTGTATTGACGGATTCGTCACTCCTTGCCCTTGGACTGGCACTGGTAGCCTTAGGCTTCAAAATAGGCGTCCGCGGAGATGCGGATTGAGATCTGTCCAAACGGATGGCTGGGATCGAACGCGGCTTTTTGTCGTCTCCTGTGGGCATTCTCAGAGTCCAATTCGCTGATCAGCGCTTGTCGACTGACTTGCGCAACAGGTGCCTCGGTCGAAGTGGTGGCCGGTCGCACTAATGTGATGAGAACGGTGAGATCGCGGATGAAATGCAATTACAAGGAGCAAGTGCGAACTAGTGGCGCCGATGTGGAAAGGAAAGTCGTGTGCGGCACAATTCGAATGTGGAAAGAAAAACTTCAGGCACCAGAACAAAACCCAAAAGGAGAAGGAGGCACGGAAAATGAAAAAAGTACCGGAAAATTCGTGCTTGTTCGGAAAAAAATGATAACGGTCTATATATGTATGTATATTTCGACTTGTGATTTAATTATGATGGAGCCAGAAGGGTGGAAATGAAAATCTTAATTTTTAATCAATTGAGGTTAATTATCACGAAGCTGGAACGGTGGAATTGAAACCTAAATCTTCTATTAATTGAATTTTATTAACACGAAGCCGGGAAGATAGAATTAAAACCGCGGCTCTATTCGGACAGAAGGTGGATAATTAAATTCATTAATTATAATTTTTCGATAATTAAGTTTTCGACTTTAATTATTGAGTGGCCGGAGAGGTGAATTAAAA